GCCTGGCGCATGTCGTGGCACCCCAGCCAAAGGGGTCCCTGCACCAAAGCTGTGCCAGGGCAGGGGGTTTCCACGGGCGCTGCCAGCCGTGGTGGGTCCTGACAGCAGCCATGCTCCAGGGGACATCCCCGGGGGGAAGCCGGGGTGGCTGCACGGCAGCCGGGTGATGGGTTCCCGGGTGGGCCGTGGGTTGTGCGAGCCCGTTCCCCGACATGGCTGGCCAGGGCAGCACGCCGGGTGGAAAAGGTGGGTGGCTGCACGGAGAGCCTGTCCGCAGCAGGCTCCAACCTGCGCACAGCTTGTCCTGGCGCTCACCCATGCACCCATGGGTGCCAGGGTGCCAGCGGTGAGCAGGCAGTGCGGTCCTGCCGGGGTGCGCTGGTTGGCCGGATAAGCACCCACCCCTGGGTGGAGGGCATGGGGAAAGGGTGAAACCCACGTCTGTGGGTGCAAGCTGCATCGGCGGGGGCTATTGGGGAGGTTTCTGGCAGCGGCCAGCGCTGGGCCCTGGGGCTGGAGGGATTTGGGGGTTGGCTGTGGGGGTAATGTCCCATTCCCAGCACCCTGGGGTGTCCGGATGACGATCCCCACACCTTGCTGCAGCACAGGGGCTCCGGGAAAGCACCCGGCTTACTCAGCAGCATCTCCTGCGCAGCCGAGGCAGCGTCGGCAGACAAAGCTGGCAGGCGCTGGCAGCAGGAGGAGGGGACGGGGCTGCCGGGAAACTCGGGCGCTTCTCCCTGCCCTGCTTTTCAAAGTGCTTTTCAATCCTTTTCTTTTTTCTTCTCTGCTTTCAAAAGCTGCTGAGAAGCAGTAAAAGGAACCAGCGACGGGTTCAGGAAGGGTGAGAGCGATGCAGCCACCCGCCCCGTGCTCCCGAGCCTCCCAGCACCCCGACCTCGCTGCCATCTCCCCAGGGCCGGATCCAGCCCCGGGGCTCTGCGGGGCCCTAGCTGCTGGGGAGGGGAGGGGAGGGGGCCTGTCTCTCCCAGGCAGTTTTTCAAGTTGAGTGGGTGCCTGCTCTTCCCAGCCGGAGTTAGGCCAGCCTGCGGGAGCCTTCCCCAGTGGCTCCCACCACCAGACTGATTTTAATCCCTCCTGACTGCGCTGTCTCAGCCAGCGCCGTGCTCCCGTGACAGCGTCAGGTGAGGTGAGCAGCGCCGCACCGGCCTTCGATTAACACGTGCTGGCCCCACACGAGTGGGTAGAGCTGCTGGTGGGGGCCCTGGCAAACCCTCCTCCTCTTCCTCACCCACCAGGGGACCCCTGCTCAACTGCAAGCTCACAGGGCTTTGACTCCTGCCTCAGTTTCCCCATATGGAAAGCAAGGAAAATAAAATCTGCCAAACCAACCGGCTACGAAAATGGCACCGGTGTGAGCCGAGGCAGCGGCACAGCCTGGGAAGCCGCCTGCAGGCCATGCCCTGGGTGGTTCGGCCACGGTGCTCAGTCCGGCAGAGCCTCCCCACCGTGCCAACCCCCGCATCCCCGCAGCACCACGCTTGCCCCCGCTGCCCGCAGGAGTGACGGCTCTGGGGAT